GTAAGTGAAGAGAGACATTTATATGAAACATTTAAGGATTTACGTTTCAAAAGAAAAAAATTTATATGAAAATATTTCAATTCTTGTTTTTTGTATTGATATTTGAATTCGTGAAGATAATTTACAGACATTCTGTAATCTGTAGTCTGATAATCTGTAAACCTTTTATATATGAATAGAAATACGAACAATACAATTAAATATTTAAGGATTTTTAATTATTAAAATGCTTTTCGAAATTGAAAGAAATTGCTTAATTAACTGCATTTAACTATCAAGAAAGTTATTTTTTATTACCTGTTTCTTTAAAAATAATAAATAAATATTATAAAATCGCTATTTATGTTGTGTATTACGGTTATTTTTGTTAGGTTGGATGTTTATTTTGATACGCTTTTTCCGCATAAGCAATCAACTATTTAACGCGCAGCAATTCAACACTTTTTCAACGAATCCATTTAAAATTCAAATAGAAGTTCAAACTAAGTTCAATAAAACTAATATAAAGAGTTAAGTTCGAACGTTTCTCTATTATTAATTTGTTAGATTAAAGGATAATGAGAAACAACTATCACACTGGAAAAGAGCTAGCAAGATACTGTAATTTTCAAAATTCATAGCTCTGATTAATATATAAATAATTTATATACTAATGGATGAAAATGATGTGTTGATGACATTAAGGAAGACTTATAGATAAGTTATTTATAGAGCAATCTCTGAAGTGAATGTCAAACTTGTGCCCACAGGAACGAGTAAACAAAACCACAGTAGTTGGTCTTGAGTCTCGCGCCTGACCAACGGGCTGGCCGCGAGGAGTTTTTCAGTTTTTCTTTACGTGTTTAACACATAAATAAGGGCCAGTTTCCCATTAAAAATCCTCCCAGGAGACATTCGCATTGGCAGATCGCTTCGGTGTTGCGTTGCCTTAGTACAACAAACTTATTTTTAACCACAATTTTCATATAATTCTTTTAAGTCTATATACTATAATATCTCTATCTTAAATGAGGCAAAAGAAATTCTTTTAAAAAAATGTGAATAATTATTATAAAATTCGAACTGATTTCTCTTGACTCGTCTAGAAGATTTGAAGTTATTTTTTTTTATATTTATATCAGATGCATATCCTTATCTACAGCTTTTCTTCTATATAAAAAAGAAAAATCTCTATTGAATCCAACTAAATTATTTTTATCTCATGTCGACTGTTTTTTTTTTGACAATGGAGGATATGTTGAAAAATCCAAATAGGATATAAAAAAATTTTATTTTCGTGACATTTCAAACTTCTATATTGTTAAATAAATATATTTGATTATGTTGAATTATTTTTGTTCCTCTTGTTTGTTCTGTCCATCACGGCCGATATTTCGGAAATAAGTCTTTATTTTTATTTTTATTTTTTCCTATTTTTGAAAAGAATAAATCCTATATTATAGTTAAAAATTCAGAAAATTCACATTTGATTTTTATCTTTTATATTATTCATTTTCTAAGAATATAAACCTATATATGTGACACATGTTAAGCTAACAGAAACATGTGTTAAACAGATTTTATTAAAAAGAAATTACAATATTAATGATCGAATCTTGTGAATTGATGGAATTATAATATATAATTTCATAAATTCTCAAGAGATGTATACACAGTTAGGTACTGATTTCAGACAGATGCTTGTTATTATTCTAATGCAGTTGGAAGCAAATGAATCAAAAATCATAAGGTGCATCTTTACAAACACATTCTTAAAATATATCTTAGTTAATTGACTTTTGGACCAACCCATGTTATATATAAATATTGACTGTTATTGTATATAAAACTACACCATTTGTTTTAGAATAATTTTTTAAAAAAAGAAAATAATTCATCTGTAAATATTTGCACGTAAAACCTCTTTAAAAAATCTAATTCATGGTTTTATTATTTCAATAATTGTAAATGATCGTCTTTATGAATTAAACTAATTTAATTAATTTGTTAATTAGTTATAATTGTGAGTATTATATTTCTCTTTATGTAGTTTTTTACAGTACTTTTACACAGTCGTTATGATAATGTTTTAGAATTTTTCAAATATTTACATTATTTTTAATAATAATATTTAAGAAAATTATATGTTTGCTTAATCGATAAGTTATTTATAGAGCAATCTCTGAAGTGAATGTCAAACTTGTGCCCACAGGAACGAGTAAACAAAACCACAGTAGTTGGTCTTGAGTCTCGCGCCTGACCAACGGGCTGGCCGCGAGGAGTTTTTCAGTTTTTCTTTACGTGTTTAACACATAAATAAGGGCCAGTTTCCCATTAAAAATCCTCCCAGGAGACATTCGCATTGGCAGATCGCTTCGGTGTTGCGTTGCCTTAGTACAACAAACTTATTTTTAACCACAATTTTCATATAATTCTTTTAAGTCTATATACTATAATATCTCTATCTTAAATGAGGCAAAAGAAATTCTTTTAAAAAAATGTGAATAATTATTATAAAATTCGAACTGATTTCTCTTGACTCGTCTAGAAGATTTGAAGTTATTTTTTTTTATATTTATATCAGATGCATATCCTTATCTACAGCTTTTCTTCTATATAAAAAAGAAAAATCTCTATTGAATCCAACTAAATTATTTTTATCTCATGTCGACTGTTTTTTTTTGACAATGGAGGATATGTTGAAAAATCCAAATAGGATATAAAAAAATTTTATTTTCGTGACATTTCAAACTTCTATATTGTTAAATAAATATATTTGATTATGTTGAATTATTTTTGTTCCTCTTGTTTGTTCTGCCATCACGGCCGATATTTCGGAAATAAGTCTTTATTTTTATTTTTATTTTTTCCTATTTTTGAAAAGAATAAATCCTATATTATAGTTAAAAATTCAGAAAATTCACATTTGATTTTTATCTTTTATATTATTCATTTTCTAAGAATATAAACCTATATATGTGACACATGTTAAGCTAACAGAAACATGTGTTAAACAGATTTTATTAAAAAGAAATTACAATATTAATGATCGAATCTTGTGAATTGATGGAATTATAATATATAATTTCATAAATTCTCAAGAGATGTATACACAGTTAGGTACTGATTTCAGACAGATGCTTGTTATTATTCTAATGCAGTTGGAAGCAAATGAATCAAAAATCATAAGGTGCATCTTTACAAACACATTCTTAAAATATATCTTAGTTAATTGACTTTTGGACCAACCCATGTTATATATAAATATTGACTGTTATTGTATATAAAACTACACCATTTGTTTTAGAATAATTTTTTAAAAAAAGAAAATAATTCATCTGTAAATATTTGCATGTAAAACCTCTTTAAAAAATCTAATTCATGGTTTTATTATTTCAATAATTGTAAATGATCGTCTTTATGAATTAAACTAATTTAATTAATTTGTTAATTAGTTATAATTGTGAGTATTATATTTCTCTTTATGTAGTTTTTTACAGTACTTTTACACAGTCGTTATGATAATGTTTTAGAATTTTTCAAATATTTACATTATTTTTAATAATAATATTTAAGAAAATTATATGTTTGCTTAATCCAATTATATATATTATATATAAAAAATAAATGTACAGAGTAGAGAAAATCTTACCAAATAGTATATAATTTTAAATTGTATAAAAATAGAAGAAAGTAATAAAATAATTATAAGTAAATAGTTATAAAAATTGGAAAAAATTGAAATATTCCTCTAAAATATAAAGAAATGAGATATGTTATAGACGAAAACATAATATGGAGAAGAAAATGCTGAAAGATAGAATTTGAAAAACAAGAAACGAGAAGAAAGAAGAGAATAATGGGATTGAATACTGATGAAACTAAAAGAAAAATAAACAAACTGTTTAGAAATTATCTTGTTTCATTTATATGACATCAATGAACAACATTTTCATAAAAAAAAAAGCACTTTTGTTTTCTCCTAACTCCTAATATTTATCTTTTACTTGACTTAGCACAATTCAATTTTACATTTTAGAATGTATTTTGTAAAATTCTGAATGAATTACATTTCATAGAAAACAAACTCAATTTATTGATTAAATTTAATTTAAAAAAAGAATTAAACAGAAATTTAATAAATTTTATTTTTAATCAAATCTATTAGGTTACATAATAATATTCTATTAATTTTAATTATGGAATAATGTGATAAATTATTAAATAAAAAAATATAATTAATTAGGTTAAATTTTAATAAAATGTTAATTTAAAGAAGATTATCGAGTTTAATCTATAGCTAGAATTCCGATAAAGTTAAATAACATAAAAAATTTTGATACGTGAATAAAATTTATAAACAGTTTTAATATTTGTGAAAAATTATAATCAGAAAAAATGCGTGAAATTAGACGATAAGTTGGACAAAGTTTTAAATAATAATAAATTTCCTGTCATATTTTAAAACTCGAGAAAAGGAATGTATCTAAAAAAGTAAAATGTATAGCCTATAGTGCATTAGATTAACTTTACTAAAATTTTATTTTGTTCTGATAAAAATTTACAATAAAATAAAACATATTTTTACTTTTTTATATATATATATATATATAAATAGTCAGGCATCCTGCAATTTCTAATATCAACAAACCTGATATAGTTTCATATCAAACTGCATAAATTAAAATTAATTTAACTGGTGGTAACAAATAAGGCATTCCCCCCTTTGTTTTTTCTTTTTTTATGTAGTAAGAAAATCAAAAGATTCGGATCGGAAGGATATGTTTGTCGAGAAATTTGAAAATAATTTCACGTAGCATTTTCTTCTATCAGTGAAAACTTCTTTATAAGAAAAAGATAGATAATAAACGTAAATCGATCGGAATCTTTTGATTTTTGTATCAAATTTTGTGTACTGTAGTGAGTAAAATAGGTTTCTTTGTTAACAAAATATTTTTGTTTATATGTAACAGACTATTATTATTATTGTGAAAGACATACCCGTTACGCCAGTTGCGTATTTACGCGTATCGTTGGGCTCCCGACGTAATTTTCCTATTGTCTAGTGTGACGATTTTGTTTTCGTTGTAGGGATGGACAACTACACGTCTCTCGCTCTGACTGTCCACAGAACAGACGACGATCCTGTCACTTGGAACAGCGTTTTGCGTTTGGTGGTATTGACTTTGGTATCCACGTGCGGTAGCATCGGAGGTATATTCGTCATAAGTGGAGTGGTGGTGGTGGAACCCCTTCAGACACGCGGCAACATCTACCTTGTCAACTTCGCCCTCGGACACTTGCTGGTGACAGCCCTGGTGCTGCCGTCGTACTGCGTCGCCATCTTGGCCGGGATTCCCAACGAGAGTACTTTCTGCACGTTTCAATGGCTGACCACGTCTGTATGTTTTATAGTGTCCGTCCTGTCCGCCATGTTCGTGTCCATCGACAATTTCCTGGGGCTGGGGCAGGTGGTGACTTACAACGTCTGCTGCACAAAAGGTAAAATCATCTTTTCCGTTTTCTTCAGCTGGATGGCCGCTATCGGATTCGCCGTGGGCCAACACGTCATGGAATACGGACCCGTTCTCTGTCAGCTGACTAACAACCCGCGCGAATTGACGTGGTTACCGTATCAGATCGCCATGGGCTGTTTTTTGATATTGTTGCCGCTGCTACTGTGCATCTGGTACTTCACGCGCTCCGTCATAAAACTGAAGAGTTTCAAGCAAGAAATGACACAGCTGGACAACCCGATGGCTTACGTCCTGACCGACGAGCACCTCCTAAGAAGCAATATCGTCATATTCATCCTGATGCTGCTGATGTGGATGCCTCTAGTTGTGTCTTCTGCAATTAACGTCGTCATGCCGATCGATATCAATTTAATCAGCACGTCCTGGTGGGTGGCCGTCACCAATTCCTGTATTTACAGTTACGTGTACGCGGCAACCAATAAGGAATTTCGAGAGGCATTCAATAAGCTCTTCTATTACTGCTGCTGTAAGAGTCACATAACGATTTCCAGACGTCAGAGAGACATGCACAGAAGCGGCAACGGGATCGGCCTGAGAGTACATATCATTCCCAGTCTCAACATTTATGCACAAAGAAAAGAAAACTTCAAAGAGTCCAAATCTCCTTACGATCTCTAAAACACAGAGCCATCGAGTGTGCCTTGAGCAATAAAGGATTCCAGAAACGAAACTGAATTTCACACTTAAAATCAAAAGCGCTTAGTGTTTAAGGTGCATACGGTATTTTTATTTATTTATTTATTTATGTGGAAACAATATATGCAAGACAGGTCATATAATTCTTTACGGAAATCTTACGCTAGTAGTCGAGCCCATCATAAACACACGACGTTTTCGAAAATTTGGCAACTTTTAGTGCCATCCTCTCTAACTTCTGAAATATTCCTTTCCAATTCGTTATAAATGATAGAAAAAAAACTATCACACTGCCCTTAAGACTGTTAACGTTGGAGCTAATTTTGCAAATCGATTAAATGTGGGAAATTATTTAAAAAAAAATAATTAATTAATAATAATCATCAAAATATTTTATTAAAAAAAAAGAGGAGGGGGGAAAACATTTTTTTAAACTCAGAATATTCCATCCAGATTGTTAAATAGCAGTTATCATTAAATATATCCTATATTATCTCATATCTATCAATACATATACACAAACACATGAAAGAAAATTGAATAGTCATTGTTGACTTTCTGAATAATATCTACAAAAGTGAATAAATAAATATTTATAAATTATTTTAATAAATGTATAGTCTATAAAGTGAAGATGGTAATTTAGTAGAAACAACAACAACAAAAAAAGAGAAGAACAATTTTCATAAAAGATTTCAATTTCGAAGTGTAGCCGGTGATAGTTTCCTGATTTCATAATGTGTAATATTCTATGCTTATTTGTGTATGAACTGAACATACAAAACTGTTATAAATACTTCTTTTTTTGATTTAATAAAATTTACAGATATTACAGTCTGATCCGTGATGACTCGTTTTCCTGTATATTATACTGAGACAAAGTCAGATATACAAATTATTTATTCACTGTATCAAATACTATAAGTTATACAACTTTATTTTCTGAATAACATTCAATTGTTTTTAAATCGGCAACTCAGAGATGATCCAAAGTAATAGGAAACAAAAATGAATAACAAATTTCTAAATATGGAGATATTGTTTTATCAAACTTTAGAGAATATATATATATATATATAT